GTCTTCAAATAGAATATACTTTCAGAGACAGCAACAATCTCTAAAAGACTGTCAGAGGGTGGTCATCCCTAAACTCATAGCCTTCCTGTGTTCCAAGTGTATAATTTTTCAACTGTGAAAAAACTAATTCCTGGAAGTATGCCAGCTCTTTCCTTAAAAGAAGACACACATTGCCTGAGGACATCCAGACCTCCCTTTCCATTAAATATTTTTATTACTTTACACAAGGAATAAGACATTGTGGCTGCAATTATTGCTGAATTATTGATTTAATTTAGCCATTTGGATTCACTTACATGACTTTTTATTTTGAGTTTGTCTCCCTACTGTTTTTCACCAATAAAGATGGGCAAAGCACCTTGATGAGCCAAATAAGCTGCTTTCAGCATTTTCAAATACGGTAGATTATATATCAATTATAAACTGCAGATCAATCCTTATTTAAGCAAAATGATGACCTCCAGGCTGGAGATGGGAGTAAGGCATCTTATTCTGAGGGGTGAGGCTGCTCACTTGACATGGTGACCATTGGGGAAGAATAGATACCCAGCTAAATAATAAGTCAACTATCACAGATAATTTATTTTTTCTAAGAGACCCTCTCTGTTTCACTATGCAATGGAAGATGCATTTAGTCCTCATTGTCAACTTGTTAATTTTTGGGAACTATGGATGGGAAGAGAAGAACAGCCAGGTGGGTGGATGTGATTACAGCAGCAATTGATGCATTCTTGGAAGATCTCAAGGGTCAGCTTGGGGGCTGATCATCCTGGAGAAGTTCTCCAGCCGCTGTTGGGAATTGACACCATCTTGATGACACATAATCACATCATTTAACAAAAATCTTTAATGCTATCTTTCTCTTTCAGGGTCTTCAATTATTTGATTTTAGGAACAATTTTAAAGTACATTTTTGCAATTACTATATTGCTAGTCACCTTGAAGACTAATCTGAGTTGGAAGTTGGGTTGTTAAATGAATGAAGAACCAGTTAATTGATTAACTCATTAACTAACTATCTGGAACAAACATTAAGAACTCAGATGATAATCAGGTTGAGAAAAGTAATGGGATGGTAGAGAAGGCAAGCATCCTCCCCATGTACTTACCACCAGGGGTTATGAATGTTAGAAACTTGTGTGGATAATTCCAGTTTTAGTTTTGAGTTCAACTCAATCCGATATCCATATTGGAACAAAAGTGGCTGGTATTTTAATAAACATCAACAAAAATGAAAAACAGTTAACTGGCAAAATGTGACAAAAGTAAGGGATGAGAAGAGGAAGAGATAGAAAGACAGAGAACATTATGAACTCAGAACCACACTTAAAGAAATAATATTGTAGATAGTTAGCATGAACAATCCCAAAAAGAGTAGCCTTTGTTGTCCCGGCTTTTCATGTACATATTAAAAGAAAATAGAGATTTCTCCCTATTCTGCAACAGAACAATTTGGTGGACAGAAATTATGTATCCAATAATAAGTCTATTCCTATAGACAACCAATTCAAAAGAGTTTTTTAGAGAAAAATAAAAAAACTGGATAACCTTAAGAGGAGGATGCATTATTTCTTTTATTATAAATTTTGAATATAGACTTTCTTTATTTTCCACATAGTACTATGCTATTCTCTGGGCCCTTTTCTAGATTTTATGTTAGTTAGGACATAGTGAAACTATTCCCACCTCCCAGTAAAATAATTTCATAGTATTGCATTTTAAACAAAATCAGCCATAAATATTCATGAATGCAGGGAAATCAAACTAAATATGTGTTTCATTTATATTGCAAAGGAGGTTAACCATGTTTTCCTTTATTTATGAATATACTGCATTTCTGCTGGATCAATCATAATATTCTGTAAGGAAGAAATGTGTAAAACAAATATAGGGAATGAATCATTTTATAGTTTTCTTTAAACCAAACATGTATAATCTTTTTATGATGAATCAGCAACTATTTCCGATCTGTGCATATTTATTTAGTTTGAGAATATCTTTTGCAAGCAAAAGACTGTCTAGAAGAACTAAAAGAGATTATTTGAATAGCCTGTTGTCCATATTTGGGGAAAATAATTGCTGAATTTATTGTGCGGCCACACTTTGAATGATCTCATGTCTTCATTCCACTCCATCCTCTAGGATTACTGTCAGTAAAAACATTTTGGTTCCCCATATAATTTGATAAGGATCAAATGGAGAACCATCAAAGAAAGTGATGACTTTCTATGAAAATGGGTTACTTGAAATTGGCAACACGTATGCTTGCAAACTGAAAAGGAAATGAAAGGATCATAATTTTTTTTAAATGAAAATGTTTAATTTACATGATCGTTAAGGTTTTGTCAAGCTTAAATATTATATTATATACTTTTTTCAGATAGAACACTGGGAGATCTTGATTTACATGACAGCAAAAAAAAAATAGGCATTTGTTGAGAAAATGGCCCAACTTTTTGATGTCAGGGGTACATTTTGAATGTTGTGAATATTATATGAGTTTTGAACCCCCATAAAATGATTGTGATGTAGGCATTTGATAATAATCAATTATTAATATTTCAATTCCCAGAATTCCCCAGCCAAATATAATGAAATTAAATAGGGCAGGAAGATTGATATGTGCCAGTGAAATGTGCTAGTTATACAATATTCTGGGATTTAGAATATATAAACATAAGCTGTTGGCCACAGTTTAAGATGATCTGCTTCTGCTCATGGAATCCTGTTGGCTGAGCTGCACTTAAAGTTTAATTTCACCCACAGTATTATTTGAATTAAAATATACTGGTTTGCAGAACACTGAACATTCTCTAGCTAGCGAATGTGTTCAGTCATCAGAGGATACTTTTTTGGACTTACAGGAAGGCGTACAGATTCAATTGGAATATTCCTAAAAGTAAAGTGCAGAACATCTATTGTTGTTGTTGTTAATTGCGAAGTCGTGTCCGACCCATCGCGACCCCATGGACAACGTTCCTCCAGGTCTTCCTGTCCTCTACCATCTTCTGGAGTCCATTTAAGTTCACACCTACTGCTTCAGTGACTCCATCCAGCCATCTCATTCTCTGTCGTCCCCTTCTTCTATTGCCCTCAATCTTTCCCAGCATTAGGCTCTTCTCCAGTGAATCCTTCCTTCTCATTAGGTGGCCAAAGTACTTGAGTTTCAACTTCAGGATCTGGCCTTCTAAAGAGCAGTCGGGGTTGATCTCTTCTAGGACTGACCGGTTTGAACGCCTTGCAGTCCAAGGGACTCGCAGGAGTCTTCTCCAGCACCATAGTTCAAAGGCCTCAATTCTTTTGCGCTCAGCCTTTCTTATGGTCCAACTTTCACAGCCATACATTGCAACTGGGAAAACCATGGCCTGGACTATACGCACTTTTGTTGGCAGGGTGATGTCTCTGCTTTTTAGAATGCTGTCTAGATTTGCCATAGCTTTCCTCCCCAGGAGCAAGCGTCTTTTAATTTCTTGGCTGCAGTCCCCATCTGAGGTGATCTTGGAGCCCAGAAAAATAAAATCTGTCACTACCTCCATTTCTTCCCCATCTATTTGCCAGGAATTGAGAGGGCCGGATGCCATGATTTTGGTTTTCTTAATGTTGAGTTTCAAGCCAACTTTTGCACTCTCCTTCTTCACCCGCATCAAGAGGCTCTTTAGCTCCTCTTCACTTTCTGCCATCAGAGTGGTATCATCTGCATATCTTAGGTTGTTGATATTTCTCCCGGCAATCTTAATTCCAACTTTTGATTCATCTAGCCCTGCCTTTCTCATGATGTGCTCTGCATATAAGTTAAATAGGCAGGGCGACAGTATACAGCCTTGCCGGACTCCTTTTCCAATTTTGAACCAATCAGTGGTTCCGTGTTCGGTTCTCACTGTTGCTTCTTGACCCACATATAGGTTTCTAAAGAGACAAATGAGATGGTCTGGTACTCCCATCTCTTTAAGGACTTGCCACAATTTGTTGTGATCCACACAATCAAAGGCTTTTGCATAGTCAATGAAGCAGAAGTAGATGTTTTTCTGGAACTCCCTAGCTTTCTCCATGATCCAGCGTATGTTGGCAATTTGATCTCTAGTTCCTCTGCCTCTTCGAAATCCTGCCTGTACTTCTGGTAGTTCTCGATCCACATACTGCTGGAGTCTAGCTTGTAGGATTTTAAGCATAACTTTACTAGCATGTGAAATGAGTGCAATGGTGCGATAGTTTGAACATTCTTTGGCATTGCCTTTCTTTGGAATTGGAATGTAAACTGACCTTTTCCAATCCTGTGGCCACTATTGAGTTTTCCAAATTTGCTGGCAAATTGAATGTAGCACTTTTACTGCATCGTCTTTTAAGATTTTGAATAGCTCAGCTGGAATACTGTCACCTCCACTAGCTTTGTTGTTGCTCAGATTTTCTAAGGCCCATTTCACTTCACATTCTAGGATGTCTGGTTCGAGGTCAATGACCATCTCATTGTGGTTATCTGGGATGTTAAGCTCATTCTTGTATAGTTCTTCTGTGTAGTTTTGCCATCTCTTCTTAATCTCTTCTGCCTCTGTTAGGTCTCTGCCATTTTGGTCCTTTATCATGCCCATCTTTGCATGAAACGTTCCCTTCATATCTCCAATTTTCTTGAAGAGATCTCTGGTCCTCCCTATTCTGTTGTTTTCTTCTATTTCTTTGCACTGTTCATTTAAGAAGGCATTCTTATCTCTTCTAGCTACTCTCTGGAATTCTGCATTCAATTGGGTGTATCTTTCTCTTTCTCCTTTGCCTTTCGCTTCCCTTCTTTCCTCAGCTATTTGCAAAGCTTCCTCAGACAGCCATTTTGCTTTCTTGCATTTCTTTTTCTTTGGGATGGTTTTAGTTGCTACCTCTTGTACAATGTTGCGAACTTCCATCCATAGTTCTTCAGGCACTCTGTCTATCAGATCCAGTTCCTTAAATCTATTTGTCACCTCTACTGTATATTCATCAGGAATATGATTTAGTTCATACCTGAGTGGCCTAGTGCTTTTCCCTACTTTTTTCAATTTAAGCCTAAATTTTGCAACGAGAAGCTCATGATCTGAGCCACAGTCAGCTCCTGGTCTTGTTTTTACTGACTGTATAGAGCTTCTCCATCTTTGGCTGCAGAGCACATAGTCAATCTGATTTCTATGTTGACCGTCTGGTGATGTCCATGTGTAGAGCCGTCTCTTGGGTTGTTGGAAAAGAGTGTTTGTTATGACCATCGTATTCTCTTGACAAAATTCTATTAGCCTGTGCCCTGCTTCATTTTGTACTCCAAGGCCAAACTTGCCTGTTATTCCGGTTATCTTTTGGCTTCCTACCTTAGCATTCCAATCCCCCATGATGATAAGGACATCATTTTTTGGTGTTAATTCTATAAGGTGCTGTAGGGCTTCATAGAACCGGTCAATTTCATCCTCTTCAGCACCAGTGGTTGGGGCATAGATTTGGACTACTGTGATATTGAATGGTTTGCCTTGGATTCGAATAGAGATCATTCTGTCATTTTGAGGATTGTATCCCAGTATTGCTTTTCCTATTCTTTTATTGACTATGAAGGCTACTCCATTTCTTCTGAGGGATTCTTGCCCACAGTAGTATACCTGATGGTCATCTGAGTTAAATTCACCCATTCCTGTCCATTTTAGTTCGCTGATTCCTAAGATGTCGATGTTCAGTCTTGTCATCTCTTTTTTGACTACGTCTAGCTTGCCTTGATTCATGGATCTTACATTCCAGGTTCCTATGGAGAAAAAATCTTTACAGCATCGGACTTTCCTTTCACCACCAGATATATCCACAGCTGAGCGTCCTTTCGGCTTTGGCCCAGTCGCTTCATTCTTTCTGGCGCTACTAGTACTAGCCCTCTGCTCTTCCCCAGTAGCATATTGGACACCTTCCGACCTGAGGGGCTCATCTTCCAGCGTCATATCTTTTTTCCTTTTAGTACTGTCCATGGGGTTTTCATGGCAAAGATACTGGAGTGGTTTGCCATTTCCTTCTCCAGTGGATCACATTTTGTCAGAACTCTCTGCTATAACCTGTCCGTCTTGGGTGGCCCTGCACGGCATAGCTTATAGCTTCATTGAGTTACGCAAGCCCCTTCGCCATGACAAGGCAGTAATCCATAAAGGGGAGAACATCTATTAGGGATCTTTAAACTGGATTTTTGCACTTTTGCAGAAGCTTGGTTCATTGGCCTCAGTGGCAGCTCCTTTGAGTTATAGGATAATGTTCAATTAGCATCTCCGGGCAAAATAAAAACAAAATACAAATTTAATAATAAATGAGATATAAGTAGTAATTGATAAGTAAACAATGCTAATCGATAATGAACCTTTCATGATTTAGAAAATATTAATAATAATATTTATACTGCATATACCTCATATCTGTAATCCTTAAATTTTATGGCTATACAATTAAAGTGCTTCTGGGAAAAATAAAATTTTGAAAGCTATTCAAATACTTTCTATCTGCATTCTCATCTCTTGGCTATCATTCATTTCAATCCTATTCGTCAATCTGATTTAAGCAATTTCTTTTTTCTTGCATTCAGGGTTATAGCTGACATTTTTGAACAATCAGAATGCAATCCAGGCCAAACCGGCTGAGAGGCAGTCCTCCTAAAAATTATGAATAAAGAATATATAGCAATAAGAAAAAGGAAAAAGAAATGGTGTGTTCCAGCATTTCTTTTGTAAATGCTGAACGATATTCATTCTCCACTATTTCATCAAGAAGCAATGTAATAAGATGAGGAAATAGCTCTACTTATTTCAGAAATGACCGAGATCAATAAAGACCTTTAGCAATGCTAATTATGCAGCCGCACAAGAAGTTACTGTGTTTCCTAATATGTTTGTCACGAATAATGATTTTGCCCAAACTATTAACATAATCCTAAGTACTTGTTTTTCTCTCTTGCAATTGAACGTGTTTCCTCTTGCTGGACTTGTAGGGTGATTTTTGTGCTAAGTATCTCTGAATACTCTATGGGCTTTCATCCCACTGGAAAACTCATTTGTGATTAAACTTTAAAGTGAGAGGGAAAAAACAGTGTAGGGAAAAAAAATTAAACAGACAGAATAAAAGCAACAGCTTTTAAAGGAAGTAGAACAGCTTTGCTATTAAGGGGGAGTCAGTAGCTCAATAAAGAATAGAACAAAATAAATATCCTTGTTAGTTGAGCACAGATAACACAAAAAGGTCATGCTGCCCTTGGCTTTGGTAGCATCTTCTGTATTTCAAATGATCGAGTCATTTTTATTCCCATGAGGACACTCACCCTGGCTCCGCAAAGGCAAAAAATGTCACAATATGTCACGATATATCACATGACTCGATTGAGTTTGACACCTGTGGCCTAGCTCAATCTTCTACCCAGCCACAAATGTATTAGCAGAGGATTTGCCTTATTCTTCAGGCTTCTTGAACAAGATTACTCCCAGATTGTCCCCAGCTTGGGTTCATACTGCTCTGACACAATCTCTTTACAATAATTTATAACTTAAATAAAGGCTCCTTTGAACTAAATTATGCTCTGAATGACTAGATCAAGGCTTTTCAACCAGTGGTACGGGTACCACCTGGCAGGTGGTACGTGACCATCCTAGAAAAGTGGTAGCGGGGGAGGGGAATGAGCTGAACCGGTGGCAGCACCACACAAGCCTGAGCGAGAGATGGCTGGAGCTGCAGGGCTGTCAGGGCTCAGCAGAAGCACCAGGATCAGCACTTCTCCAGGACTGTCAGGGCTCAGTGGAAGCGCCAGGATCAGTGCCAGGCTCCAGCTGGAGCTCGGCGTTGATCCTAGCACTTCTGCTGAGCCCAGAAGAAGCGCCAATCAGCTGGAATGTTGCACCATCTCCAGGGTTTTGTGATTTACATACAGATGCTTGGCAACTGATTCATATTTATGACGGTCACAGTGTTCCAAGATCATGTTAAGTCACCAAAACCTGCTGCAACCACCCAGCAGACGGGGGGAATAAAAACCAAACACTTCCCCACCCCACCCACACTGCCAATCCTCAACAGAATGCTCACAACAATGAAAACCTCAGACACGAGGAAGAGCGCCGCCAGCTGGGCAGGCAGGTGTCTTGCTCGGCTGTGGCTTGGGGGGCACTTTTTTCAGTGCCATTGTAACTTCGAACAGTCACTAAGCGAATTGTTGTAAGTTGAGGACTACCTGTACTTCATCACTTCCCCCCTCCCTTTTTTTTTGGTCATCAAGTTTTTGACACCTTGCTAGTCGACTGGTGGTACTCGGATATTGCCATATCCTACAACTGGAACAATGGATGAAAAGGTTAAAATGCCCTGGACTAGATGAATATATGTCTGAAATTTATTTTGCAGAATTAAAAGTCATCACCATTATGTCCTGGGACTTTTTTTTCAACTTCCCTATCTAGCCTCTAGCCCTGGTTTTTTTTTCCCATTCAAGCACCAATCAAGTCCATCTTTTAAAAAATTGGTCAGGATTGGCTAAATGCTGCCAACTTTCAATGGCCATCTATCTTTTATATTTTTGGATTCCCCCATATGAAGACTAGCCACTGAGCTCTATTTTTTTAATATGAGAAAAAGTCCTTCCAACCTGCGTACTCTTTTTCAGCATGAAAGATATTCTGTCAACATTTTATGATTACTTAGGAATGTTGCACTTGCATAATCATGCAAATGAGGTGTGGAGAGGTGGAAATTTGGAGACAGAAATTGCTCTTTTACCATCCAATCAAGGTTCTCAATCAGTTGCAGTATATGCAGAGCTGAAAAATAGCTCTCTCTCTCTCTCTCTCTCTCTCTCCCTCCCTCCCTCCCTCTCCCTCTCCCTCTCCCTCTCCCCCTCCCTCCCTCCCTCCCTCCCTCTTTCCCTCTGTGTGTCTCTCTGTGTGTGTATGGGGGGAGGCAAATGCCAATGAACATATATTCAAACAAACATGTACCAAATGATTAGTAAAGATAAAAAACAGTACAAAGTATGTTCTTAAATGTATTCTTAAATTTCATTCTGTTTACTAAATCAAAACTACTGATGCAAAATGACTGGCTAAAAGACATTTCAGTGTTGAAAATCTGATGTTCTTGCATAAAAATGGAAGAATGTGTCAATTCCCACCATGGATGAATGGCTACAAAAGTTGATGGAGTTAGCGGAGATGGCCAAATTGATTGTTCTGATGAAAGAAAAGAAGATAAGCACTTTTGTTTCTACTTGGAAATTGCTTCTGGACTTTGTGCTTGAGGTGGGAAAAAAATGATACTTTGATTTTGGGTTTTACTGATTAGATAGATTTGTTTTTATAGAAATGAATAGCTTATACCAGTGATGGCGAATCTTTTAGAGACTGAGTGCCCAAACTGCAATCCAAAACCCACTTATGCATCATCGAGTGCCGGGTGGGTGTGGCCCATTGGCTGGGTGTGGCCAATTGGGTGGGCATGGCCCATTGGGTGGGGGTCGCTGCCGTGGTAATGGCAGACTGGGTGGGACTAAGTTCAACGAATCAATTCCAACTTTGCAAGATGTTTTTTTCCCCGTGAGAAGTTGAAATTGATTGATTTAACCTTTTTTTTTTTGCACACGGCAGCGGAGGCCTAAAGCGAAAAGGTTTTATTAAACCCAGCTGAAGGCCTAGGACTGGGGTGACAATGCGCGTGCCCACAGAGAGGGCTTTGAGTGACGCCTCTGGTACCCGTGCCATAGGTTCGCCACCACTGGCTTATACTATTATGGAAAAATAAAAAGTTGAGGTTCAGTGTTAATGCCTTGTTTTACTGCAACAGAGGCAGTTGGAAGTCAATGCCTTTTTTTCTTTTTCCTCTCTTTTCCACACTTATCTTTTTCCCTTCCCCTTACCTTTGTTTCCTACCTTGCTTTTGTATTTTTGTATTTTATACTACCGTGTTTCCCAGAAAATAAGACCTATCCTGAAAATAAGCCCTAGCTTGATTTTTACGTGTGTGCCTAATATACTGTAAACCCTATCCCCAAAATAAGTCCTAGTCAAGACCCCAGCCACTCCATCCCACCGTAAACAATAAATTAAAATAGTTTTTGAATGACACTCCATGACATTCATTATGATCCAAACATTGATGTGAAGTGCAACAATTCTCTAAAATGGTCATAATATTTGAATTTCTTTTGATTGCAAGTAGGTTGATACAGTACACAGAGATTAAAGACACTCAAACAATAAAGCTCATACAGCTAGCACTTCCAATGACTTCCATTGTCTTAAACTCTGCTCAGTCATCTCCCTGTATTTGCTCGATTCTTATTTTCCAAGTCATATAAATACAAACTGAGAATTCTGTTAAACAGCATCTGCCTCTCCTTGGGTGTCTTGGCAAATGCCCAGTCCAATCACCCTCTGGGCCAGTGCTGATTCAAGCAACTATGTTTTGTCCCATAAATTTCAGAGACGTTTAACAGGCTATATACATATCTGAATAGCATTCATTTCATTCATGCATGTGTAACTCCTCTTTCCCAAGATAATTTGTACTCATATGACAATACTGTTATGAATCCATTAATCTGACCACCAAAGTATTCCTCCTTACAATAGATTTCTCTAATAATTACCAGATGCTATTTTTTCAGAGTAATGTGGCCTCTCAGTTGTAATAGTATAATGCAAAATGTTATATAATATGAGAATAATCAGCCGGATGTAACAAAAGAGGACCTTACATAATTATAAAAAGAGTGTTAAATAAATGCATTCACTGATGTTTGTAACTAATTAATCTTTTATCCAGATAAAACTAATGCTGAAAAGAAAAAGATGTTTATTTCAATCTGATATATATATATATATATATATATATATATATATATATATATATATATATATATATATATATATATATATATATATATATATATATATATATATATGTTTTCTGAGGTTTTCGC